CCTCAGGTACTTTAAGGGAAGGAGCCTCGGCCTTTTCCGGACATGTCTCACCTTCAGGACGTTCAGCACCTTCAGAAGTACCATTAGTGCAATTCGTACCAGGAGGAGTAACTTGGAGAAGAATCTTAGTCTCACTCTCCGTATCAGGGACTTGGTCGGAAAGATCGGCGGCAGGCACTTCTTCAGCGAGGACGTGCACACACGCACATGAGAGCAGGAGAGCGAGGATACACAGCACGTGGCGCATCATTACTATTGCAATACTTCTTGCAGTAGTCTTACTTCAACCGCTTAGAAAAAAAACAGAAACAAAGTGAATCAATGTAGACAAGAAAATAAGAATACACACCAAATCAAGCAACACTCAACAATTAAAGCAGATGCACACACATTGCAGACAACTGTAACCATGACTCAGAAAGTACCCCAATTAAAGTAAAAACCCACACAGTACCCAATAACAAACAGATAATCCCAATTAACCCCTCAAAAGAAAAAAAAAGAAATCAAAGAGAACAACCATCAGAATCACAAAGCACAGCAATAAAATCAAAATGCCTCTTTCTGTAGGACCAAGCACAATTACAAATATACTTATGTATTCCTTATTATTTTTTCTCCCCAGAAAACACTCCAACACACAACAATACAGGAAAAAGCACACAGCGCCCAAGCAAAGATAACGTGAACAAAAACACAAATTAAGAACAGGACCAACCGCACAAAAATAAATCACAGACCACTGGGTATGATGGTGTGTTCAAGCAATTACGAATACAAATTGTATTAACTACTATTTTTTCCTCTGCTCTTTTAAAACAGATTACCAAAAACCGTACAGGGCAAAAGCACACAATGACCCAGCAAACTCATCAAGCAAAGAAACAGATATTAACCATTGAGCCCAATGTACCCAGTAAACAGAGAAATATACACCAACTATGGGTGTAAGTCTATATATGTGTGTACATATACGCAATTATAAATATAAATTCATCTGTTATTATTATTTCTTTTACCCACTGCAAATAAACAGTTCATCATCATTATTACAGTGCAAGCCCAAGCACACAGAGAGAGAGTCTCCAATAACACACACACACACACAATGGAGTAGCAATAATAATAATTATAGGATAAACACACAGAGAGCAAAAACACACACAAAACACATTAACATTAACAAACAAAAAAATAAAAAGATAGTCCCAACAGGTAAAAGATTAGTTAGAATGTAGGGATGTATGCAAAAAAGAAGAAAAGAAAACAAAGGATGACCTGAGTCACACCACACCACCATCACTACAATCAGCACACAAGAATACAGGCCAGTGTAACCACAATCAGTAGTGGTACA